GTGTTCATCTCCCTGCTTATCGGTCTGGGACTCACTCTGTCTGCAGGATCGGATGGACTCGCGGTGGGGGGGGGGGGACTGGGCCACTCCTATCACTTGGCCACTGAATTTTGCAGCCAGCTTGAATAAGCCATGACATCCACAATCGAGAGTCTTGAGGCCTTACAAAGCCAAATCACACCCCTGGCCAGGCTGGTGCTCCAAAACCAAAGGGTCCCTGACTTATTAACAGCTGAAAAAGGGGGGACCTGCCTCTTACTAAAAGAGAAATGTTGTTTTCATATAAACAAATACAGAACCGTTGAACAAAACGTCAAAACTCTCCAAGACCTAAAGATTAGCCTCTGGGCCCTCTCAGATCCAGGAGGGATGCCATAGCTTTCCAACCCCTTCCCTGCTTGGCTGCTACCCTTGTTAGGCCCCTACTAGGGCTATGTACCCTGCTTCTCATGACACCCTGTCTAATTCAATTTTTCAAAAGTTGCGTACAGGACATCATTAAAATCGCCACCAACCAAGTCCTGGTCCAGTACCAAACTATCCCTAATACCTTCTCCGATTTTGATGACACCCACTCCTTATAAAAGACCAAAGGGGAGATGTTGGGATAAGTCAGGAGTGCCTGGAATGTAGAGCATGGCCAGGCTAGAGACCTCCTAGTGAGGACGGCAGGAAAATGGCCAGCTCCATTCTAGATACACTGTCTCTTACCCAACAACCCCCAAACAAAACAATTAGGTCTCTAATCCTTTAATCCTTACTGGGTCTCTTGTAGATCATGTGACCGGAGGACAGGACAAAGGCCACATAGCCTTAGAAGCCCCCTCCCTCCCCCTACCTGCTTGCCAGAGACCTCCTAGTGAGGACGGCAGGAAAATGGCCAGCTCCATTCTAGATACACTGTCTCTTACCCAACAACCCCCAAACAAAACAATTAGGTCTCTAATCCTTTAATCCTTACTGGGTCTCTTGTAGATCATGTGACCGGAGGACAGGACAAAGGCCACGTAGCCTTAGAAGCCCCCTCCCTCCCCCTACCTGCTTGCGTGGCAGAAAACCAACCCCACCTCTTTGCCCCCGAAACTTTCCTATATAACTTCTGCTTCTGCATAATTAACGAGCTGTCCACTGACACAGTCTCCTGGGTGTTTCTTCCCACCATACTTGCCACCTGAGGCCCCTCTCACCCCATCGGTCTCTCTCCTCGCCCCAACTTTCTGTGACAGGGACCAGTGCTCAACGGTCTCCCAGTAGCAGCAGAATTCCAGCAAAGGGGAGGCCGACAATTATGCTTTATCACAACAACTGAAAAGTAACTGATACACTAATTATGAGATGAATATTAGAAATTCATTTACAAAACTACATATTACAATGAACTTGGGGTCCGATAACCTGGGTAAGAAATCCTAGCTCCAACATCTATTGTATTGATCGTGAGCTAGCAATTTAATGCCTCAGGAAATTTTATTCATTTATGTAATGAATAAATTTGGAAAAAATTTTAAAGACAATTTTAATGCTTTAAATACTCATTTACCATCTGAATGACTAATACAAAAAATGCTAGATGCCGGGTGGGAGGTACATGCCTTTAGTCCCAGCACTCAGGAGGCAGAGGCAGGTGGATCTCTGTGAATTCAAGGCCAGCCAGGTCTACATAGTGTGTTCCAAGACATCTGGGGCTACAGAAAGACCCTGTCTCAAAAAGACCAAAAAAAAAAAATGCTGGAGCGGGTACAGAGAAAAAGGAACACTTATACACTATTGGTAGGAATGTAAATTAGCATAACTGTATGGCTATATCTCAAAAAACTGAAAACAGAACTACAACATGATCCAGCTATCCCACCCCTGGACAGGTCAGCTGGGGTTACAGGGAAACCCTGACTCAAAAAAACCTTCAAAAGAAAAAAAAAAGCCATCACTATCTCTGCACTTTTTAATCAAAATCACAAGAAACTTTATTATAGAACAAATACACTCATGTGATTTAAAAACAGCATTTTAGTTGTTGAATATGACAGATCACATATTCAATTGCGCTCCTGCAAGAATATCACCTGGTAGTTGTAGCTATCTTACTTTGAGTATATACACTCTGTGATGTTTGTACAATGAAGAAATCAGCTATTTATTTCTCAGAATATATCATTATATAAGACAAGACTGTATTAGGTCACCAACCTGAATAGCTATGAGAAACAGATTTATATATAATTTTTTTATTTTTTATTTTACGTGTATGCATGTATTGCCTGCATGTAGGTAAGTGCAGCCATGTTGTGCAATGCCCACGGAGGTCAGAAGAGGCTGTCGGATCCCCTGGGACTGGAGTTACGGACAGCTGTTAGCTGCTATGTGGGTGCTGGGATTTGAACCCGGGTCTTCTGCAAGAGCAATCAGTGTTCTTAACCACTGAGCCATCTCTCCAGCCCCCAGATTTATATGTTTGAAGATACTGCTCGTATCAGAAATATTACATCTGAGTTTCATATACTGACAGAAAGCCCATCTTAACAAACTTCAGTGTCTTATATACTAGAGATAATGATAATGTGCAAATAATGAATTTTCTTTATATTTATGAGATATCTTTATTATTGAAATTGTCTTCCTATGTGACAAAGTCACATTTTCTTAGAATAATCAAAATGTCTTATAAACACTTCTGTTCCACACTTTTCCTCTCTCTAGGATTTTTTTCTCCATAAGCAATAATTAGAAGAAAAGGGTGTAGCCATGCTGACTAGGAGAATTCAGGAGTTTTATGACTTTAGAAATACTCGTTATTACGTACTTCATAAATATATTCAATGTATTTTGTGCTATACTTAACTATGTAACTATAAGATAAGCAATGGTATAACAAAACCTTTCAGAGATACCCCCTTTAACAGTATGAAAAAGTAAAGAGCTGATAATAAAACCTTTAGTCAGGAATAATGTCTCAGAATCAGCCAAGCATATTTAACTATGAAATCCAAGAAAAAAATACTACAGATAAAACAAATAGAAAGACACAAGACAATCTATGAAGTAGTTTCGTTTCTAAGCTCTGAAAAGGAAGTTTTAATAACATCTTAAATACATGGGCATAAGATATAATAATGAGAAATATTAATTCATATGTACTCATTGCTGCATCAAGTATAAATTGGTAAATAGTAATAATAACGAAGAAGCATATTGGCAGTATATACCAAGAGCCTTAACAGTATTCGTGCTATTTTTCTACTTTTCTATATTTGCTTATTAGTTATAACTTGTTTTAACTTGTTGCAACTTGTTTTCTAATTTAAAAAAACAAACATGAAGTTTCTGGTCTGTGACTACGAATTCTACAAGAAATAGAATTCCATTTTATAAAACTTCAAGGAATTATGTGATATAAAAAAAACTGGGCTGGAGAAGTAGTTCAGTGGGTAAAGTGTTTGCCACTCAAGCAAGAGGACTGTCTTAGTATGTTTTATAAAAATAACCAGTCAAGAAATCAGAAGCAACTAATAACTTTCAATGGCCTTAAGAATATATATGTATGTATATATATACATACATAACCATGTGAAATGGAAAATATTTCATGAACTGAAATGTCATCACATTAAAAATACTCACTTTAGTTGTACTACCTTTTGACAATTATAAATGCTCTATTGCTAATTTCAAATAAGATAAAACTTGATTACATAATTGTAGTGTAGCAATTTCCTCCAAAGTAAGACATTCCATCTTGGAGGGAAGCTCATTAAGACTCTATTAAAAGAGAGATGAAACAACAAGATGTACTAAACACTCCATCCAGCAGGAAAGCTACTTAACCTAATGAAGTAAACAAATCAATAGCTTCAGGAAGTCTCAGAGACAATAAGATTCAGTAGGACCCTCCCTCTCCAAGCATATACAAGCCCTGAGGACTGCTGGGAAACAACTCAGATGGCCAAGTTGCCTAGAAGACTATCAGATGCTGAGCTGCCTAGAACATGCTCAGACCAGACAAGCTATCTGGAAGAAACACAGATCATCATCCAAGCTCCTGAAAGAGGCTCAGACCAACTGAGAGACCTGGAAAAGACACTCTCCAACCTGTTGAGCTGCCTACAAGTAGTAAGGTGTGCTCCAGGTTTTCCAGCTTTCATGAATCATCACCTATGCTATAGTGGAATTTGATGATGCAGCAGTGTTTGAGTCATTTCTGCTCCTGTAAGTAACCCCTCGCCCACACTTCTGTAAGTTACCCAATAAACTCACTGGTCCACCAAGTTAAAGACTTTGGTGATAGCCTTACTTTGGTCTATTATTGGTTCCCTACATGGGGTGACGTTTGTTCCTATCTTCCCAGGAATAACATCACACAACAATAAAGAAATGTAAACAAAGTTAACAACAAAAATTTTATTAACAACATGCTCAAATCTGAGTCAAAGCATTTTTAAACATAAGATGTTTAAACATTTTAAACAGGGTAGGCAAAACAGCTAGCAGGTTAAGGTGCCTGCCGCCAAGCCTAAATACCCTGAATTCAATCTCTAGTACCCATATGCAGAAAAACATTAACAGTATTATGTTGCACACATGAACATACAGTGACTGTAACAGCAAGCACAAGATGTGCATAAGATCTAAGTTAGCCAAAACCTCAGCATGAATGGGAAGGGGCTCATGAAATCCCATGCCTATCTAAGGAGCTATTGGCAGTTGATGGCTACTGGGAAAAGGAGAGCCACTTTTCTTCAGGGATATGGGCCCTGAGAGGATTACCCATGCTCCAGTTGATGTTCCTACACCTATGTACATACAGGAGCACTAAATAGATTCAGTGGGTATTGAAAAAAAAAAGAGAAAACATATGAAGCAGGAGAGAAAGTGAAGGATAGATTGGATCCAAGCACATCATATACATGTATGAATATTAAATAAAATGTATAACTTAAAATTTGGACAAAGCAATAAATGTAATCATTTTTATATATAAAACAATGACAATAATAATAAAGTACCTTGCAGTTCTGTAGCAGTCGTATTAGATGTTCAAAGCAATTGCTGTTAAGAAAAATGGCCTGAAGAACAGGCCTGTCTGTGCAGTCTAACATGGATGTGATGGTATCTATGAAAATAAAAGCAAAATCATTCATGTAAATGTGAAAACGGGATCAAACATTTCTTGTAATCATTTTTTTTTTTTTTTGGAGACATTAGCCCCAGCTGGCCTCGAATTCGCAGAGATCCACCTGCCTCTGCCTCCCAACTACTAGAATTAAAGGCATGTGCCACCGTGCTCTATTTTAATCATTTTTTTAAGGTAGGCTTTCAGTTGATAGAACAGATGTCAGTTAAGTGGAAAATAATACAGATGAGGAGCAAAAAAACCAATGTTATAATAATTAAGAAAAGTGAACATATAATACAAAAAGAAATGGAATTTCTCTTTATCTTAGTAACATATGTGCTTGTGTAAAATAGAAAAGAAACATAAAATATAGACCACAGCATGCCAGTGCCCATCAAATTCCTCTGGGCATCACATGAACATCTTGCACACTAATTTTCAAAGTTTTATTATGGAGTCCAGGATGACATTTCAGTATATTGTGAATTGCAGTTGATACTTTACATTATTTTTAGTTGTATTCCCTATGTTAGATTGCAAAAGTTAATAATAGTTAAAATTGTTATAGAAGTAATATACTGTCATTATAGCTAAAATAGGAAATTCAATGAGTAAAAAGAAAGTAAAATTTCTTCATATCTCACCACTTACACATAACAAACAATACTGTCTTAGTGTTTTAAAATTTATGTACATGGCACATAGAACTATTAGAAATACTGTGTGGAAATCATGTTGAAAATCATCCATTACAACATTTATTTATATAGGAAGATAAGATTCATTTTGTATAATTTTTTAGTTCATATGCCATGTCATCTTTTATAATTATAAATTATAAGTTTGGTTCTATATAAGGCTTCTTTTTTGTTAGGATATATAGTATTCCTCACAGTAGATGCCTTTTGACTTCTGGATTGGAATATCTCTGCAGTAGGAAATGAGACCAACATGTTGTCACCAATTTCAGAGGCCTTATATTAATTTTATAGTATATAAATTAGACTATTAAATATAAATAGATATTGCTTACTAATAGCAAATCAGACACAAGTGGTTAGACTTGAACGTGATGGAAGAAAACCTAAACAAATCTCTCTCATATGTATTAATTGTAGTAGTGTTCCTTTCCAAATACTTATGCCCAAATAAGAAATCCAAAAAGGGATTTAGATGAATAAATAAGCAATGACCACCTGACATGTTCAATCTGGATTACAGAGTCTGGAATGTGCTTACTGTAACAATACGTTTACATTACTCTCTCCTTACATTACACTACGTTTGCATTACTCTCTCCTTTCAGGATCACAAAGCTGGTGGTTTACAGAGGATAGAGGGCTGGTAATAACAGAGTCTTGTCTTTGCATGCCATTCCTCCTCTTTAGGGGATGAATGACTTTGCAAGTTCTAAGCATATCTGTATTCATCCTTTAGAATAAAAAAACAAATGACACCAATGTTAAAGATTAAAATAAAACTGAAAGTATGTATTGCACTAATACACCCTACCAAAATAAATATGAATAAATCATTGGGGAAGAAAAAGAAATCATATAAACAGGTGAAGAAAAAGAACTATCTGTGAACAGAGAGACACCAAACAACCAACACAAAGAGAGTGAAAAGAAAGAAAGACACACACTGGAATAATAGAAACACAAAAATCCTCTAACAGAGGGCTAGCTGCTGAAGTGAACTCTGAATAACAGAGGGATTTACCTACCTAATATTTACCATAAGTAAAAGACTACAAATGGCACCTTCTAAAATTTATTCTTTATAGAATTTGAGTCATACCTCACTTTCTTTTTAGCACAGACACTTAGTGGATTACACTTTCAAAAAAGAAAACAATGAATTTGTCACTGATAAAGGGAAAATGTAAACAAATCAATTTCATAGTAATTTATGTGGAAGTTAAAATCTAAATGCTCATGTTACCTGAATTAAAAGATCAACATTTTTTTCATACAATAGTCTTATATATCAAAAGAAACTGAGACTAAGAAAGCAAAGAACAGACTCAGAGAGAACTTGCCTTAATAAATACTTACTGAGCATCTTGATCTGTAGAACTATAAATCGACTTTCCCACTGCCTAGACCTCCTTTGAGGTAAAGCTGAATGATCTGAATTTAGCAATTTAAAATAGTTCTCCAGGATAGTACTGGTTTCCACTTGACGCTGGTCAGAGCTGCTAGTGAGAAGGATATGTACCACTTCTGTGAGGCATTTCAGAGTTAGTTCTATCTTCCTACACACTTCATCAGGATCGCCATCCTCCCATGAATCACAATCTGCCAAAATACGCATAAGAACTTCCATAGTGGCTGGAGAAATTGCTTGCAAAGCATTCTTCTGAAACATGAGAAACAATAAAAGACAAAACCAAATTAAAGGTTTTATACATTTGTTTTTTGTTATTTTCTTACTTTATTTTTTTACAGGTTTTTTTTAATTTTTAATAACTACATGATTAGAAGAATTTCATTACAGCTTTAACATATTCAGTAACACGCTCCAAAGCAAGACTACATCTCTTTCACAAATGGCTGTAACTTTCTAGGTTCACAGTTGAATTAATACAGTTATACAATATTGAACCAAGTATAAGCCCTGTAACACATGAAATTGAATGAATTTTTAACCTTTAAAAAAGATGTCCATTTCATTTTAGAATATATTGTTCCTGGCAGAAAGACACATTGTTTTTGTTACTAACACTGAGATGTTGGCACATGCATCTCTAATCTGTATATATCTGATTATTACTAGTCATAATTGGTTACACTTGGATCCTTGCTGCCTGTATATGTCTATAAAGTCATGGGGTAGATTTCAATGGTGATGTTTATCACCTCTACTAATTAACATGACATAATTTCCATGCTTCCTCCTCAAACATAATTTTTTAAATTTGTTGATTGTGTGTGTGTGTGTGTGTGTGTGTGTGTGTGTGTGTGTGCGCGCATCACACAGACCATCCCAAACCATCTTATTCAACTATACACCCACTTCCCAGATGGGACCCTCCCATAGCCTCCCTCCCCCGACTAGAGCCCTTATACTCTGATATTCCTGCTACTGTCTGCTGTGTTGTCAGAACCCCGAGCCATTCCCCACTACTTGTTGATGAGGTGAATCTAGTCAGCCTATCTAGAGGTCTTTGTTTTAGGAAGGTCAGCTGTTCCTCATCTAACAGCAATCACTTGACAATATTCCTTTAGATAAGACTGAGGTCTGCTGTTCATTTTCCCAGTTCTATTTTGGGTTACTATCTTGGAGTCCTGTTGGCCACTTTGGCCAACAACTCAAAAGAAGGTATCTCCTATCTGGCATTATTGTTATATAGCCTTTAGCTATACATATGGGATCTGGTTTGCATAATTTGTCAGTAGGTTGTTGACTAATATGGTTCCCTCTGATCTTTAAAACTAGCTAGGCATTATTGATCTCTCACATTGCCTTACCCCTCCATCATAGTGTCCACAATTAAGGTGCCCCCATTTTCCCCCTTTCTCACTTAATAATATCCTTCTCCTATGGTCCTAAGTCTCTTGAGCTCCTTCTTTCCCTTTACCCTCCTATGTCCTTGTATAAACCTCCTTGTCTTCTTTCCATTTATATACTCCCATTTTACCTATTTCTCCCTTAGTAACACCTGTCTCCTACTGTTCTTTTCTCTTTCAG